CCCCGCCCAGCTCTGCCACAGGATTCTCTTCTGGCCGTGCTGGTCTTCAGGACCAGGGGGCCCTGTCCCCACCACGCCTGGCCTGGGCTTGGGAGCTGGGAGTCCGGGGCTGAGCAGACGTCTGTAGCCCCAGGCCCAGGGCTACAGCTGGGCTGGGATCCTCTCCTTGCTCTGTAAAAAGGAGCTGATGACACCAGCCATGTGCTCTGGTTGGTTCATGTGGGCGTAGTGGTTGCCGGGGACTTGCACGTACTGGAACCTCTGGGGAAGGGAGGGGACACGTGGTGAGGTGACCCAGTGGAGGGCTCCGCGGGCCCCTCTGGCGCACGGGGGCTTTCCCACGGCCTGCTGCCTCCCAGTGGTTCCGAGTGTCCACCACAGGAGCCTTGGCAGTGCCTGACCCGTGCCCTCACGGGCCCCAGTTACAGCACCCCCTGGGGGCCTGGCTCAAAGCCAGTGAGAAAGGCCTGTCTGGGAAGGAAGAGCCCAAGCCCTGGGTTCTAGGCCATTCTGAGCTGCAGTTGTAGCACTAGGCTGGGGAGGGGGCTGGTAGTCGGGGCTGCTGCCGGTTCTGAGCATCTTATAAGGTCCACTTGCAAAAAGAATAGACCATCAGCCTTTCAAACTCGCCCTTGCTCGGGAGAAAGGCCGACAAGGCAGGAAGGCACTGCAGTTGGCCAGCCAGCCACACGGGCTTCCCTCTAATGACACCAAGTCGTCTGCACAGGCCCCAGGGTCAGGTGTTTATGGTGGATGATGGTCATAAAATGCCAGGTGCTCCCAGGAACCCAGGCAAAGGGCAAAGTCACAGCACACGTCCCAGCCCTCCAACTGGGAGGCCAGCACCCACTGATGAGACTGGTCATCTGTTCCCGTGTGGGACCCTAGGAAATCGTGGCAGTGCTGAGTTGGGTGTGGCCCGGGGAATATGTGAGGACAATAAAGCCGGGAGATTCTGCCAATGAGAAATCTGCTTTCTGTGCTGATTTATATGTGACCCCCCAGGTCTCCAGGGACTGCAGCAGGGAGTGAGGCCTGGTAGCTCCTGGGGGTCACCTGTTAGACCTAGGGCCAGACCAGAGGTCCCAGTGCAAGAAAAGAGATGGGTGAGCTGGAGCCCGGGATGGCCTGGCAGCCCTTCCTGAAGCCCAGCTGCTCTGAGCCCTATGTACCCACCTCTTTCAGGGTGGATCTCAGTGAGCTGGTCACGAATAGCACGAGCTCCATGTTGGCATCATTCTCTCTCCTCAGATCGTAATACCCTTGGGTTGCTCTGGGAAACGAGAAGAAAGGTTCATCTGGGACCACCTCCTTGCATGCTCTCCCCCAGCCCTGGGCTCCAGACTCAGACTGAGACCGGCCTGGGCATCCCTCCAATCTTCCCATAGCTGGGTCCCTTCGAGCCCAGGTTTAATTCAGGACTGAGTTTTATTCAGTCCCCGCAGGCACACACAGCTCACCGAGGCCTCTGCTCAAGTGAAGCAATTCAGGTTTATCTCAGGACCTGGTCATGGTCACAGCCACTGAATGGCAGAGCTGGGATCTGAATGGGCTCAGAGTCTGTGCGTTCTCTTTCTCTTTTAGCAGCTTTATGGAGATAATGTCACCCATTTAAAGTGTACAATTCCATGGATTTTGGTATATTCAGAGTTGTGCAAGCATCACCACTGTCAATTTTAGAACATAATTAATCACCTCAACAACAAAACATCCCGCACCTACAGTTTCCACATAGAGCTCCCAGTCTTACACAGCCACTGATCGGCCTTGTCTCTATCTGTTTCCCTATTTGGACTTGCATGTCAATGGAATCATATGCTACCTGGACTTCTGTGACTGGCTTCTTTCAATTAGCCTAATGTTTTCAAGGTCCATCCATGTCATAGTGTGAATCAGTGCTTCATTCCGTTTGTCACTGAAAAATAGTCTGTTGTATGGATGGAACATATTTTGCTTATCATCTGTCCATTGATGGACATTTGGGTTGCCTCCAACACTATTCATTCTATTATGAAAGATGTTGCTGTGTGCCATCAGTACAAGCTGTTGTGTGCACAGATGCTGGAAACACACCTAGGAGTGGAACTGCTGGGTCATGGTAATTTAATGGCTTGAGAAACTGCCAGACTTTTCCAAAGCGGCTGCACCATTTTACAATACCAGGGGCTTCCCTGGTGGCACAGTGGTTAAGAATCCGCCTGCCAATGCAGGGGACATGGGTTTGAGCCCTGGTCCAGGAAGATCCCACATGCCGTGGAGCAACTAAGCCCGTGCGCCACAACTACTGAAGCCCGCATGCCCTAGAGCCCACGCGCCACAACTACTGAAGCCCACGCGCCTAGAGCTTGTGCTTTGCAACAAGAGAAGCCACCACGATGAGAAGCCCGCGCACCGCCACGAAGAGTAGCCCCCACTCGCCGCAACTACAGGAAGCCTGTGCGCAGCAACGAAGACCCAATGCAGCCATTTAAAAAAAAAAAAAAAGTTTACAATTCTACAGCAGCATGCAAGGGTTCTAGTTTCTCCGCATCCTCACCAACACTTGTTATCTCACTTTTAGAGTCTGGCCATCCTAGGGGTGTGCAGTGTATCTCACTGGTCTGGATCTGCTCCTATTGAGTCCATGCCTTCTAAACCCCTGTGATCGGCAGATGTGTCCCTGGAAGTCACAGTTCCTGCCAGTCCAGGATGGCTGCAGTGGAGTGGGTGGTGGCACCTAAGCCACACCAAAGGATGTTCACTGTGCTGTGGCACCCAGAGGCAGTGGATGGCTTCTGGCTAGCAGGTGGGGGAAGGGAGGACAGCAGACAGGAGCAGTGTAGGCCTGGGGATGTCAGGGGCCCAGGGTGGCTGGAGGACTGGGGAGGGCAAGGGCCATACACCAGTGTCTGCCAGTCTCTCTGCCTTACCTGGGCGTGCCCCCCACAGATACAGACACCTGCTGAAAAGTGCGGTGCAGTCCTTTCCCATCCCCGGCTGCCCAAGCCCTCCCACCGCCTTGCCTGCCTTCCACACACCAGCAGCTGGGGGGAGAGGTCTCACACCAGGAGACCTGGAGATTCCTGGTACTCACATCTGTCTGGGGCACTCGGGTCAGACTTACTTGATGAACAGGACGCGGGCCTGCAGCTTCCTGATGGAATGCATAAACAGCTCCCTGCTGATGAAATTGAAGTAATACTCTGGCTGCAGAGACAAAACCCCAGTGAGTTCTCACCACAAGGCCCTGGCATTGCCGGGGGCAGAAACTGGTCTCTCTTGGGAACAGTGGGGGCCCCTTCGGCCACCTAACCAGCACCAAGCCCACTGCCCAACCGTATCACTGCCTCAACAGAGGGCTTTAACTCCCTCAGGCCAGAGACTCCCCCCCTCCACCTCCAAATCTGTTCTCCCTCTTCCTGGGCTCATGGCTGCCCAGCCAGACATGTCCCAGACTCCCCTCAGCCAGGTGTGGCCATGCAACTAAATGCAGACAAGTGACCTGGGCTACTTCTGGGCTTAGGTTTGGGACTGAGGCGTGGCCCCTCCACACCTCCTTTCCTGGTCCACAGGCTGCCCTGTAACGCTGCCCAGCCAGCCTGGGCTCTCGGCAAGCACAGCCCACTTACCTCCACCGACTGTTTCCATGAGAAAGAAACCTGCTTAAGCCACAGTGCAGAAAGAGTGCACCTTGGTGTCCCCGCAGCCACTGCTGGCCTCCATCACAGCCCTGACCTCCCCGTCTTACGACCATTTAAGAGGTCTAGGTCTATACTGTCCACACGGTAACCATCCGCCATCTGTGGCTACTGAGAGCTTGAAATGGGGCTAGTCCAGCCTGAGACACACTGTAGGTGTAAACTGCACACTGGGTTTCGAAGACTTAGTATAAGAAAACAATGTCAAATATCAATAATTTTTTCTGTTGATTACATGCTGAAGTGGTAACACCTTGGATACACTGAGTTAGTTAGAAAATATTATTAAAGTTGATTTCACCTGTTTCTTTTCACTGTTCATACGGCCACTGGAAGACGTGACGTTAACACGAGCTCACATTATACTCTTCTATTGGACTGTGCCGATCTAGGCTAAGAAGCCTCTGAGGGCAGAAGCTCTCAGGATTTTCTGTGTTCACAGCTCTCGGCACATGGCGCAACAGAGGCGGGGCTCAGTGAGCGTGTCCTGAGTGGGTTAATTCAAGAGAGCTCCCATACGGGCTGACTGTCGCGTTGTGCTACAGCATCATGATGAAGCTACGACTCCTGTGAAGACACAGGCACACAGCTGCCTGGTCAGCCACTTACTGTCGTCGTTCTGCCCTAACCCCTCCCAGCCACCTCCTGCTCCTCGGGCCACAGTGACCTCAGGGGCTTTTCCAGAAGCAGAGGCTCCCCTATCAACCACGAGGCCCAATGAATGAACATTTACTGAGGACCCAGACACGTCACACGTTATCTCCTCCCCGAAGGATCAGAAACGCTAAGTCCCTATGTCACAGTCAACAGCTAACAGGAGGTGGTGCCAGGACTCAGCTCAGGCGTGAACTGCCCCTCACCCCCTCCTACCCCAGCTTCTCAGCCTCATTTTTTTTTTTTATGTTTTGGCTGCATTGGGTCTTCGTTGCTGCGCGCGGGCTTTCTCTAGTTGCGGCGAGCAGGGGCTACTCTTCATTGAGGTGCGCGGGCTTCTCACTGCGGTGGCTTCTCTTGCTGCAGAGCACGGGCTCTAGGCGCGCAGGCTTCAGCTGTTGTGGCACGTGGGCTCAGTAGTTGTGGTGCACGGACTTAGTTGCTCCGTGGCATGTGGGATTTTCCCGGACCAGGGCTCAAACCTGTGTCCCCTGCATTGGCAGGTGGATTCTAAACCACTGCACCACCAGGGAAGTCCCTCTGGCTTCTTTTCTCTCTTCCTCTCCATCTCTCCTCTGACCTCCTTTTCCTAGTCCACTTCTATCCTCAGATCTGTATTTTTCTTTTGTAATTCAAGTATAACTTACAGCAAAGTCCACAGACCTGGGTGTCAGCCCATTATGGCCTTTGACATACGGATGCGGCTGTGCAGCCATGACCCGGATGAAGGCCTGGAACCCCTCAGCACCCAGCAGGCTCCCTTCAGGGGTTTTCTCCAAGGGCAAACCCCTAGATCAATTTTGCCACTTTTTGAACTTCATATACATAGAATCATTGTGTTCTTTTTTGGTTTGGGCTTCTTTTGCTCTGTAAATGTGCTTTTTTCATTCCTGTGTGGTGTTCCATTGTATGAATGTATAACAGTTTATGCATTCTATTGTTGATGGACATTTGGGTGATTTCTACTTTGGGGCTATGATGAATAAAGCTGCCAGGAATGTTCTCATACATGTCTTATGGAGCACACAGCACACACTGTTGCCGGGTGCATATCTAGGATTGGGATTACTGGGCACAGAATTTACATATAGCATAAATATCATACTATGTATATTTTACTACCATAAAAAAAGAAAAAGAAAGAAGCTGACAGGCACACTGTGAAGGGTGGGAAGACAGTAGCACTCACCCTAGTGATCCTCCGATCTCTGTTCAGAAACAGACCTGGAAGGAAGCATGGAGACATGGCCTCAGCGCCGCCTGTCAGGGTGCGGAGGGGTGGGGGACTCAGCTCGGCTCCCCTGGGACCCTGGGCCCGTGCAGCCAGGGCTCATTTCTTCAGCCTGGACCTGCAGGGACCACCACCAACATCCTCTTGGGGTTCAGCCAGAGCAGAGCTTGCCCACAGCTACCCTGCCACGGACAGGAACACCCATGCAGGTGCCTCCCCGGCCATCCCAGAGGGCAGCACAGAATGACGGTGGTGGGACAGTTACCCACCCGGCATCGTAGTCTCATCTCTGAGAACCTTAAAATGTTCACTCGGATCTTTAAGCACCAGGAAGTGCCCAAGAGCTAAGGATCGCATCCTCACTTGTTGGAGAGAAATCGAGCCAAAAAAGAAAGGCTGGAGGGGTTGAGAGGCCTGGGTGGTCCCAGCTCCAGCTGGGTTCTCTGCCACGGTCCCAGTGGGGGCAACTTGGCCTCACCTAGGGAGGATGGACACCCAGCAGTTCCCACCTGGGCAATGTCTCCTCAAGAAAGGGCTGCCAGGGGACTTCCCTGGTGGTTTAGTGGATAAGACTCCGTGCTCCCAATGCAAGGGGCCCGGGTTCGATCCCTGGTCGGAGAACTAGATCCCGCATGCCTGCCACAACCAGAAGTCTGCATGCTGCAACTAAGGGTCCACATACCGCAACTAAGAGTCCACATACGGCAACTAAGGAGCCCGTGTGCCACAACGAAACTCCCACGTGCCGCAACTAAGACCTGGCGCAGCATGCATGCATAAATAAATACTAAAAAAAACAAAAAAAGGGCTGCAGGGTCTCAGGGAGGTCACAGAATCTCAGACCCTGGAGGCTGCCTGATGTGAGCAGCGCAGGGAGTGAGAAAGGGAGATGATACGGTGACGTAGGTCACCCCAGGAGAACGTGCCGGCCAGGAGAAGCAAGGCTGCTCCCTCCTCCCTACACACCTTTGCTCAAACGCCACCAACCCAGCCAGGCCTCCTGGACCTCCCCTTTACACCCACAAACATCTTACCAGAGTCCCTCCATCCCCTGCTGATTTATTTCTCTCCATAACTCCCAGCACTTTCTTTCTTTCTTTAGTATTCATTATTTGGCTGCATCGGGTCTCAGCTGCTGCACCTGGGATCTTCATTGTGGTGCGCAGGCTTCTCTCTAGTTGTGACTCACGGGCTCCAGAGCATGTTGGCTCAGTAGTTGTGGCGCAGGCTCAGCTGCCCCGTGGCACGTAGGATATTAGTTCCCCGACGAGGGATCAAACCCGCATCCCCTGCATTGGAAGGTGGATTCTTAACCACTGGACCACCAGGGAAGTCCCTCCCGGCACTTTCTAATGCACTCTATCATTTACCGTCTGCTAGATCATATCTTCTAGGACAACAAGGGGTTTGGTCTCTTTTTAATTCACAGCTGGTTTTTTTTTAAATTTTATTTATTTAATTTATTTATTTTTGGCTGCGTTGGGTCTTTGCTGCTGTGCGCAGGCTTTCTCTAGTTGCGGCGAGCGGGGGCTACTCTTCGTTGTTTCAGTGGCTTCTCTTGTTGTGGAGCACGGGCACCAGGCATGCGGGATCCAGTAGTTGTGGCGTACGGGCTTAGTAGTTATGGCTCGTGGGCTCTAGAGCACAGGCTCAGTAGTCGTGGCTCACGGGCTTAGTTGCTCCGCGGCATGTGGGATCTTCCCGGACCAGGGCTCAAACCCGTGTCCCCTGCATTGGCAGGCGGATTCTTAACCACTGCGCCACCAGGGAAGCCCCACAGCTAATTGTTGATAGAGGTTCTTAGACATCTGTGACTCAAAATACTTAGAAGGACCATGTCGATGGAAGGTTTTCTGGTTTCCACACTACTAGATCATCTCAGCCTGATCAAACCGTGGCTGAGGCTCCTGGGCTGCCTTCAGCTCCGGACACGACCTCCCTGCATAGATGACTGGCCCTGCTGCATGTGCAGGACCAGAGGTGACCCCTGGGTCCCCCCGCCCCCAGGCTCACTGCCCTCCTCCTTCCTCCAGGCCTGGGTTTCACATGCTGAGAGGATGTGAAAAGACTTTAAAAGGGGGTTTTCTTGGGGGTGGGGTGACCCCCAAGGTGCTGTTTTCTCTGCCCTGAGAATTGCTCCTCCCTGTGGTCAAGTCCTCCAGCTCTTTTCAAGCCTGCTTCCACCTGACACATCCTGACGTGCCCCAGGCACTCCCGCAGCCGGCTGCTTTTCTGTCTGCCTCTCCTGTGACAATGACCTTTGTGAGGGCAGGAATGGTGTTTCTCAGACCAGTGGGCCAGCGCAGATGTCACTTAAATAAGGAGTCCAGAGGCTTCCCTGGTGGTGCAGTGGTTAAGAATCCACCTGCCAATGCAGGGGACATGGGTTTGAGCCCCGGTCCAGGAAGATCCCACATGCCGTGGAACAACTAAGCCCATGCACCGCAACTACTGAGCCTGCGCTCTAGAGCCTGCGAGCCACAACTACTGAGCCCTCGTGCCACAACTACTGAAGCCTGTGCGCCTAGAGCCCGTGCTCCACGACAAGAGAAGCCACTGCAGTGAGAAGCCCGCACACTGCAACGAAGAGTAGCCCCTGCTGGCCGGAACTAGAGAAAGCTGGTGCGCAGCAACGAAGACCCAACGCAGCCAAAAATTAATAAATAAATAATTAAACAAATAATTAAATAATTTAAAAAAATGAAATGGTCTTGAATGCAGGAGATATTATCAGGACCACAGACTCCCCACTTCCCTGCCAACAGTTAGGGACTGTGACACTGTGATATAACAAAACATATATTTTAGTCCTGGTCCTTGGCTCCTAGCCAGAGCTCCTAAAAACTGTTGTTATTTCCTATAAAGTGGTGAAAGTGCAAGAAGCATCTTTTGTCCGAACATTTGATCTCTGACACAGAGCTCCTAAATCCCTTGGAATTTCCTGAGCGATAGGAGTGTCTTTTGTTCTAATGAGGTGACCCTTGGTGGGTTCTTGATGGCTTCAGGATGCGGGCTGGTCACCAGAAAGATCAAGCCATGATTAAGAACGTGGAACTTCCAGCCCAGCCCTTTGGGGAAGGGAGAGAGGCTAGAGCCTGGGTTAACCATCATTAACGCCTATGTGCTAAAGCCCCCATAAAAATCTCTGAGTTTGGAGAGCCTCTGTGTCGGTGGATACCGGGAGGTATCAGGATGGTGGGTGCACCACCCGCTTCCTCTGCTGGGACCTGCCAAGGTCACAGACTCACCCGCAGAGGCTGGGCAGAGTGGGTGTGGCGCCCACTCGCACACAGCAGGGTCTCCGCGCAGCTGTTCTTGCCTATGCGGAAGGCAGAATGTGCTGCCAGGTGTTGCCATTTTTCAAAAGAAACCGGAAATCTCCATTTTTACATAAACTCTCTCTCTTCTAAATATGAGCAACCTATTCAAAATCCCCCTCGTGCCAAATTGTTGTGTTTAAACTGCGCAAGTCAAAAGAAATCATGCCCGCGGCCCCAGGGCAGCCCAGCCTGTGACAGGGTCTGAGCACCCCCATGGTGGACCGGCTGCAGGCGATGGATACTGACAATGGACAGTCCTTGGTCGTTAACCCCACCCGGAGCTGGACCTTCCCTCCTTCACGCTAACACATTGACCTCATTTCGAAGGCCTGGGCCAGGGCTGTGATGGGAACGCATATGAGAGTTAGATAAAATAGGAGCTGGCCTCCCTCCTCCCCCTGGCTCACCGCCTCCCGTTTCTCCCACAAGCCTGATGGAGCTCGTGCACCAAGCCCTTCCCGGCAGCTCATCTGCATCATGGGGTTCACAAGGCCAACCCAGGCCCTTCTACTGAACATCCTGACCCCCTTACCCGCTGTTTTTTCCAAAGGGCTCTCACCTCACACTCTGTGAAGACGTGGGGAGAGGGTCACACATGAGCCAAGGAACACCTGAGGCCACCAGAAGCCAGGAGAGAGGCATGGACAGCCTGTCACAGCCCTGCCAACGCTCTGGCCTTGGCTTCTGGCCTCTGAAACAGTGAGACAGTAAACGTCTGCTGTTGAAGCTGCCCCATCTGTGGGACTTTGTAACGGCAGCCCTAGGGAAGGAATTCAGAGTTGGGGGGTATGGGGTTGGATGACGGAGGTGTGTGCGGCTCCAGAACGGAATGGGGGCTCTTGAAGGCTCTGGGGCCTGAGGGAACGGGCTCAGGAGGGTCCTGGAATGCTGGCTCCCCCACTGTCACCCCGCCCACTTGGGTCTGGGAGGCTGCTTGGTCTTGTTTTAGGTTAACCCCGGGCCTCAAAGGGCCACACTGCTGCGGAGGGGCTGGGCCCGACACAACGATCCAGCCACCTGCCCACTGCCCACCCCTCCCACCTCCTCTGCCCACCCCCTTGACAAGTGGCTCAGCGGACGTCTGCTCACTGTTTCACGTGACCCTGGGCTGGCCAAATCGGCTTCCCGGGCCAGGTGCACGTCTAATTCTGGATTAGCCCAGTTCTGCACGGGGGCCCCTCTGGCCCGCCATCTGTGCCAGCACATCAGGGAAGCTGGGGCCCACGGCCCTCTGCCATCGACCTCCCTCCTCCATGACGGATTTGCAGGGAGGGGCAGACAAATGCTCAGAGACAGTAACCAAGACAGGAATGGGTCTCCAACCCCCTTAGGTATATTCCACTTGACCTAATGGTGTGTTGGCAACTTCTGAAAAACATTACAACACAGCAGGGACTTCCCTGGCGGTCCAGTGGTTAAGACTCCGCGCTGCCACTGCAGGGGGCACGAGTTTGATCCCTGGTTGGGGAACTAAGATCCCGCGTGCCACGTGGTGCAGCCAAAAAAAAAAAAAAAAAATTACAGCACAGCAGACCTCTGGCTTCTTTTGAGCAGTTAGAAATTCTGGCCACAGGAGCCCCGAGTTCCCACGTGATAAACCCTGGGAGCCGCCCTCCTGCAGGGCGCACAGTCTCAGTGCCACGATCCCCGCCACTTCTCACGGCCCCACTCCCCAGCAGCCGGCATAATTTCACAACTTGCTCAGCTCCCACAGGCATTTGGGGTTTTGACCCCTGCCTCGTTTGGTTCTTTACAAACTGAAGTCACCTAAGAAGACCAGGGAGTCTGACTGTGCAAAGGAGCTTGCCCACAATCTCTGAGTTCCTGGGGCAGTCACTGCCAGCAAGGGCACTTGTGGATGGCGCCCCCTGGAGTTGTGCTAGCCAGGTACTGGGCCACCAGGAGAGGGCGGGTGTCTGTTCTGGTTCACCATGATCCTGCAGCCTTGCAAGGGGCTGGGCACAGAGCGGACTCCGAGTAAAAGATTTCTTGAATGAATATGTTGGGAAATAAAGTGTAGAAAACACAGGCCTGATGCTGCTCTGAAGCCAAGGTGCCCCCAACTCCACTTCTCCATTCTGAAAACCATCTTCAAAGTCGCTTGCCCCATGGGAGTCCTCAAAGCCTAGCCTCAGACACCAGGCACCCACCACACAGGATCAGCAGAGCAGGGCTGTGCTGTACCCCAACATTTAGTCCCAAGACCCCTGACCAAGCTCCCCACAGGACGTGGCTTTCCAGGATAGGCAGTAGCCGTCTGACCTGGCACAAGCCGCTTGTCCCTTCTGAGCCTCAGTTTCTCCTGCTTTAAATGGGATGAAAATAGGGCAGTAGGAGCACTAAATGAGATACTTTCTGTAAAGCACTAAGTATCATGCCTGGGCCAGAGCAAGTAGCCATAAAGCCTAGCCATCATCATTCCTCAGTAAGAACAGTGCCAATAAGCAACGGCCTTGGACAGCGAGTCCCTTACCTGTGGCCACCTGTGTGGTTCCTCTCTGCAGGAGGAGTTTCCCACACTCGTCTCCCACATGACTGTTGTTCTTCAGGAACCTGGGGGAGACAAGGAGGACACTGGATGCCTTGGGGCAGGGGAGGCCAGATGAAAGGAGAGGAGGGCAGGGAAAAGGCTACCCAGCTAGGACACAGGCCTGTACCGACAGGGATGCTCGCATCGGTGTGTGTGTGGGGGTATGTGTGGAGAGGGGGGCAGAGAGCAGGCGGAGGGGTGGGGTGAAGGGCATGGCTACAGAGTGGGGAGAATGCAGATAAAGCCCCAGCTGGGGTGGCTAAGGAGCGCCAGGTGAGCACAGAGAGAAGCAGGCTTGCTGTGGATTTGCGAGTAGAAGGAAGCTTCCTCCGTGCCCCAGAGAGTTCCTCCCTCCGTGGTCCAGAGCTCCCCCAGGCCGCTGACGCTACCGGTCTCACCCGGCGGCACCCACCCCTGCAGCATCTCCTCCGGGCTGACCACTTGCGAGGGCTTCTTGGAGGCCTCCACCTGCAGCATGTGCTCTATGGCTCTCCGCTTGTAGGTCAGCATGTTCTCCAGTTCCTAAGGATTCGTGGGTTCTGCTGGGTGGGCAGGGCGGGGCTCCCTGCTGCAGGCACACCTCGCCCAGCCCCACCCTCCACCCTCAGCAGCCCCTCAGCTGCACATCCGCCTGGCCCAAGATGCATTCTGACCCAGCGGCCGGGGGCATGGGATCAGTCCCTGCCAGTTAGCCCTGTGACCGCCTCGGTCACAGCCAGCCCAGCCTGCGGCCCAGACAGCTGGACGGATCAGGTTGAAGATGGAGGGGAAAGGAAATCTCTGCCAAGTGCTTTGCAAAGGTGCACTTTCGGGGTCCATAAGTCACGGACCATCCAGGGTTGGCAACTTCACCTGTTTTAATTAACACTATCACTCCACACGATGGAGAGGAGATGGCAGAGGGGGCACAGTTTGGGGGGCTTCCAGTGTACCATTTCCAGCCCAGCTCACTCTCAGAACGGCCTGGCCTTGTCCACGGCCCACTGCCTGGAGCAGCAGTGGAAAGTGACACTTCCATCCACCCCCTGAGAGTGCAGGAGACAGGGAGGACCAGTCACCAGAACCCCCAGGAGGAAGCCCCCGGGGGCACTGTGTGTGTCAACGCAGTGGGTGGAACCGGTAAAGACGCAAGAGTGGCAACCACCACTGTCTCGTTGAATCCTCACAGTAACCTACGAGCTCTCCGCTCATGCAACGCACGTTTATCGAGCACTTACTATGTGCTGGGACTGGGCAGGTGGTGGTAAAGAGACAGCTATGGTTCTTGCCCTTATGGAATCTGTGGTCATTTTATGGACAAGAAAACTGATCCTGAGGAAGGACCCGTGTGAGCCTGAGCCCTCGGGAACAGAATGACCACCTGTCAGAGCTGGAGGGCACCTCTACAGTCCTCTACCCAACCTCCTCATTTTACAGGTGAGGAAACTGAGGCCCAGAGAGGTAAAGTGACCTGCCTAGGGTCACAGAGCAGGGAAACGGCAGAGCCAGCACTCAGATGCAGAGACAGCACTGGTTGTTGTCACTGGTGGTGGTGGTGGCGAGAGGGGTCAGCGCTTTTCCCACGGGTCCACACTCAGGTCTACTGTGTGCAGTTGTGCAGTGTGTGCACAGCTCAAAGGTACTTGAGTGAGCACAAGTGCAGGTGGGCGCACCCACCCGTGCGCCCCCAGGGCTTCCTCAACCCACTGCTTCTCCCTCTCTCACCCCTGCCGCCTCGTGACCCACCTGGCATCCTGCAGACTCCAGGCCACACACAGGGTTCCCAAGGATGACCCAGGCCCGCACGCCCTGTTCCTTGCCCACTCCTAGGGTGTAAGTAGCATAACCCTGTCCCCTGGGCGGGGGGGCCCTGAGGCCCCTTGTCTACCCTCTGCCACCTCATCCCGCCCCACAGAGGGAGGCAAGGCTGAGGGCACTACCTGGGACCGGACCCAGGTCTCCCCCAGCGACAGCATGCATGAAAGCCCTGTCCTTACGTTAGTTTCCAGGATAAATGGCGAGGATTCCAGCAAGACAAGTTTATCCACCATCTCGGGGAAGATACAGGAAAACTATAATGTGACACAAAAGGGGAAAGATGAAGGGGAGAGTAGGTAGGGAAAGGGACTCACTTTCCTGTGGGGACACCGGTGTTTTAGGCTGGGGAAAGGGTGCTGCCCAAGAGGCCAGCAAGAATCTCCTATCCCTTCAGGGCACCTTTCTCTCCCCTACTCCCACAGTCTGCATCCAGCATCAAGCTCCTGACCCTGCTGATGGCTGGACTCCAGGGTTCTCTGTGACAGAGGAGATAGGCAATGTTGGAACACTTAACTCCACTGCCTGAAACTACCGATGTGAGGAGGCACTCCCCTTTCCAGGCAAGTTCCCCTTCGTCGTCCTGCTCTCCCCACCCCACATGGAGCACGAGCAGGGATGGTCACTGTAATCTACTCACCATTCCACCCACAGTGCCACCTGGGGGGACAAAAGAGTAGTTAGCTGATATTCCCCAGCTCTCAAAGTCCTTCTAAAACTCCTTCCCACGGGCCGAGCCAGCCCCGAGCCAGGGGCCAGGCTCCTGTCTCCCACCAGCAGGCCGGGCTCTGCATTCACTATCAAACTTGAGGCTCCCTCTCTGGGGCCATGGGGTCCCTGCATCAGACATGACCCTGTTTCCCTCGTCAGATCCGGAGACTGCTATCTACAGGGCCATGTGTCCCTTGGGGAGCTACCTGAGGCCAGAGGGCATGGTGCCCAAGGGTCAATGTCTGATGAACCCCCTCCATCTCTCCTTGGGATTCCAGAAGTGCAAGGGAAAGATACCTGTGTACCAACTCCCCTCCCTTCCTCACAGCCCCACAGCCCAAGACCAGTCAGGTCTTGGCCAAAGCGTACTCACCAAAACTGTGGCCCAGGAGGGAAAAACGGTTCCATTTCAGGGCTGAAAACACACAGAGCCAGGTCTGGATGGGCCCAGCCTCCCCGCACCCTCTGTCCTGCAGTCGCTGTGCTCTGGAAATCCCTCCCCAGCATCTGGGATGCCCCATTCAGGAAACCCACTTAAAGGAGTCCCAGTTCCACAGCAGGGGTGGAACTCGCAGGGGGAAGCGAGCTCTTCTTGCCAGCTCTCTCCAGCTTTCCCAAAGTCACCCATGAATTCCTGGCAGAACTGGGGCCAGACCCCAAGTCACGCCCAGGCCAGCGTTGCTTCCTGGCCACCACACCCAACTCCGAGGATGAGGGCATGTCCCAGAGCACCCCCCCCACACACACACGTACCCACAACATAGAGATGAACATACAGGCTCTGTCTCTTACTCACCTGCTGCGACCCTTCGGACCTCACTCACAAAGTTTTGGTGGTCATACGGGAAACCTGGGCTATAATGGGATGACAGCCCATGACCCCCGAAATCCATGGCAACGTAATAAAAGTCTGAGACAGAGGGAAAGGGTAGGGGAAGGCGTCTAGGTCAGCCACCTCCCCTTCCTGATTCTCCTGCAGTCCCACTGCCTCACCCCTTGGCTTCCATTCAGCCTCACCCCACCTTTTGGGAGAAGGGGGATGAGTCTGTCAAAGGAGTTGGCGTTGTCCAGCCACCCGTGAAGGCAGAGAACTGGGGGGCTCTGGTGGGAGCCCCAGGCTTTGGCAGCAATGTGGCCCCAGGGCATAGCGAGCTTCAGCTCTGAGATTAGACCTGTAACACAGAGTAACCATTCATGGAGCCTGCGCTTCCCGAGCCCCTCATCCACACCCAACGTGTCCAGAGCATTGGCACTACCCAGGGGGCTCAGCTGCCTGCGCTGCCCCCGGGGGTTATGGGGAGAGAGCCAGATGAGGAAAGCTAAGCTGGGTCCACTGGGTGAGGAAAACCTTGGGAGGGCTTCACAGCAGAACTTTCTAGAATAGGTTGGGGGGTTAGCTAGGCCTGGGCTCTGCCACTTGCTGGCTGTGTGACCTTGAGCAAGTTAGTAAAACCTCTCAACCCTCAGTTTCCTTTTCTGTCCCTTCGCAAACCCAGAAACTGAGGCACGGGGAGGTGCAGGCCATTCTCCAGGTCACACAGAGAGAATGAGGTGGAGCGAGGACTTAGCGCGGGCGGCACGACCCCAGGCCCCAGTCCCGACCACCGGGCACTACACTGTCTCCGGCCTCCGTCGCCCAGGGCCGACATTTTCACCCTTCAGGCTCTCCCGGCCGGGCCTGAGACCTGCCTGCCCCAAGACGCCCGCGAGCTTGCTTCTCTGACCTGGGGCTCCCGGAACCCTGGGAGGTCAAGTGCGGCCAGGTCCCCGCCCCCCCCCGTCCCCCCGCGCCCCCCACCGCCGGTGTGGCTCGGCCTGCTCCAGAGGCTGCGGACGCAGGACTTGCTACCGCCAGGAGGGCGGCGAGCCCCCCGCCCCCTCCGCGGTCCCAAGCAAGTGGGTGGGCGGATGGAAGCGCCCACGTGGCCTCCCCCATCACACTCCGGTCTCGGGGGCCCCGGACTGGGGACCTTCACCCATCGCTCGCGTCTTGCGGTCTCAAGGCGGCCGTCTCTCCATCCAGCTAAGTCGCGCCGGAGCCTAGGGACGCCAGAGTTCCGGGTTCCGCCCTTCAGCGGCCAGACCCCCGCCCCGCCCCGCCCGCAGGACTTCCGGCGGGCTGGCTGGATCCCGAAGGTGGTGGGAGCTGACCTTCAGCTCCCGCCGCCGAGCGCACGGGGAAAGCCGTCCCCGCCCGCCGGGCGCAGGATGTGAGCCGAGCGGCTGGGGAACCCGGGGGCTGTGGCCAAACGACCTTCAAAATCTCGGGCTACACCCGGGGCCGCGTCGCAGGGAGCGGAGCCGGCCCTGCTTGACACGTGGGTAGTGGAACCGCGACCCTTGGACAGTGCACATGGCCACCCCTGCCCCTGCGAGGGACCAGGAGCTGGCGAAGGCCCAGGAGCTGCCCCAGCGAGCGGGGCACCCCGTGGGTCCTCACTGACCAGTACCGTAGGGTTAAAGTTGGGGTGACTATTTAGTGGTTTAATGTCCTCCTGGAAGGAGAGGCTGCATCCACTGTGCTCTCACTGTGTTCTGGGGTCCTCACCCTGCCTGGCATGAGCCAGCCTTAATAGTTGTTGTATGGGTGAAGGAATGAATGTATAAATTGGGAACATGAGGAACCCCCCAAGTGAGGAAGGGTTATAGACAATGACATTGAGGCTGGAGAGAATCAAGTACCCCAAGGGGATGTTTGGGGTGCTAAATCCTATAATAAAGGCACTTTAGTGTGCATCCTTTGAGTCTCTGAAAGTGGCTAGTCTAGGATAAGTAAGAGAAAATATTTCCTATTCACTCAGCACCATTTGCTAGTTGGAAGGCCTGGGAGAGAATCCATGTGGTCCCTGAGGGGTCACAGTCCAGCAGAGCTCCTAACTGGAACCAGAATCCAGCCGGCTGAGGGCTGGAGAGAGAGCTGTACAGTAAATTCTCCCTGGGGTGTGTGTGTGGCAGGGGGGAGGTGATCAGAGACCCTGGTGGACATGCTGGGGGGCGGGTCACAATGGAGGGAAAGTTGGTGGCTGGAAAATGTGGATAAGGGTGATTATGGGTCTGAGTGTGGAGCTAAGGAGTTTGGACCTTACTGAGTGGTGGGGGTCTGGCGAGGCTGGGAGCTGGGGCTGACGAGACCATCTCTAGGTGGTTACATGCACCGTGGTGTCCATTAGTTCCAGAAACGCTTTGGCTTCCTTGACAAGTTATGCAGGGGGTCACAAATCCTGAGGTGACAGAAGTGATCAATGGAATATTGACTGCCATATCAGTAAACAAAGGATGTCACAGTTCATCAGCAGTTGCAGCCACAGCCAGTGGTGAGCTGGTGAGCCCTGAGGGGACTCAGGAAGGAAAGAATACCTGCCCTGCCGTCTAGCAGCTATCAGACTGCAGCCACTCCCTACAGTGAGCCCTGAGGAAACTCAGGATGTGAAAACACAGAATACTGGCCCCAGATAGCTGAGGTTGTGTATCAAAATGATTTCAGTGAGCCCAGACTCTTGCATCTTCCCATACACAGAAAAGCACTGAATTCCTTAACTTGAGATATCTGGTTTTCTTTATTTTTTATTTTATTTTTTTAGTATTTATGTATTTATTTGGCTGCGCTGCGTCTTAGTTGCAGCACGAGGGATCTTCCTTGCAGCATGCGGGATCTTTTTTTTTTTTTTTTTTTAAGTTGCATTACGTGCGATCTTCCTTGTGGCATGCGGGATCTAGTTCCCCGACCCTGGATCAAACCCGGGCCCACTGCATTGGGAGCGTGGAGCCCTAGCCACTGGACCACCAGAGCAGTCCCTGGTTTTCTTTAATTAACAATAATCTTTTGATGTTCAGACTACCTGCCCTTTGTTGCAAAACTCCCATCTATCCTGGCTCCCCCCACCCCTCACCTCCTCAGAGCAGTTCTCTCAGGGTTACTTGAGGAGATGCTGCCTCCCAGGCTTGAAGTCCTAAAAAATTCCCACCGAATAAAACATAACTCTCAACTTTTAGGTTGTGAATATATTTTTTTAGCTGACGGAAGCAATGGGGACATGGCCCCTGTGAAGAGGCTCCTTTCTCCTCTGCCCTGGGGACACACTGTCACCTCTTCATGGATGATGCCACATTTATACCTGGCACCAGGCTCCAGCCTGACCTCTGAGTGGGGACTTCTAGCACATTTGACCTCAAATTCCCTCAGCCCAACCGGCCCCTTCAGCACAGACCATATCCGCTGCCTCATCTCTGTCCCTCAGGCTCGCCTCAGTCACCCACCTCCACCTCCTTCCTCATCCTCACATTCACATCCTGACCGTGATCCCACCGCAGCCTTTCCCTGCCTGCCTCTGCCCACTTCCATTCCAGTGACCCCCCCTGGGCTGGGTGCCCATCACCCCAGGAAGACAAGAGAAATCCCTTCCCCCAGGCCCCCTGCTCCACCCCACGTATCCCATTGCCACCAGCTCACCCTACAGCATGGCTGCAGCTTTGACCTTTGGCATCACTACCCACTGGAGGGAGGTGGATCTCCCGCCCAGCACTGGAGGCCCTCCCTGAGGTCAGTCTCCCTCCTTTTAACACACATCTTCAGCACCAGGAATCCTGAGCTACTGGTTCTCTGCATGTGCCCACATTTTCACGCTGCTGCACCTTTGCTTACACCATTTCTTCGGTCCAGAATTCTGTTCCCCTTTGCCAACCCTTGAAACCCTACCCTTCTTTCAAGGCATGGTTTGAAAGTCACCTGCTCCAGGAAGCTCTCTTCAGTCCTCTCAGGTGGGATGCATCTCCCCATCTCTTGTTTTTGCTGCTGGTATGCTGCCTCTCACCCCCTGTCTGGTGTTGTATTCAACGGGGTCCACTCCCTGGGTGGGTCAGCTCCTAAAATTAGGAAAAGGTCTTACTCAACTCTGTTTTCCCCCTTAGCATCTACCAGAGTACCTTGCACACAGTAGAGGCTCAATCAACTTCTGCCGATTGAATTGGCTGAGAATTACAAAGAACATTCCCTCTCAGCCTGTCCCTCTGGGCTCACAGCACACAGTGCGGGAAGTCAGGGAGTAATTCTTCAGGTCTTATGTCCTTACTACCTTGGTTATGTTCCTCAGGTTAAAATAGTGACCACATCCAGAGAGGTGAGAAGGTATTAATAAGTGAGAGCCAGAAATGTGCCCAGGAGTTCCTCTTTCATCAGCAAGAGGAAAGTCCCTGGGTTAAGTTTATGAAATAAAAGCAATCCTTGATACTAAATGCAGTGTGGTATCCTGGATTGGATCCTGGAACAGGAAAGGGACATTCTTGGAAAAATCTAAAATCTAGAGTTTAGTTCACAGTAATGTACCAATGTTAATTTCTATCTTTGTATCATGGTTATGCAAGGCACTAACATCACAGGAAACTAGGTGAAGGGCATAGAGGAAATTCTGTAGTACCTCTGCAACTTTTTCTGTGAGTTAAAATTATACCAAAACTTAAGAGTTTCATTAAAAAAAAAAACAACCCTGACAAGAAACTTGACTTATAGTTTAATTTGATTAAATATAATATAGCCTGTGTGTTGCACTGTGAAATGTACAGCCATTATTAACAAGCCTGTTTTACTCTGTTCCAACTTTCTTTAACTAAAAAAAAAAGTTTCCCCCTTGTATCCTATTCAATGTATTTAAAGCTTTAAACTTCTAAAGACGATTTTAGCTGTGTCCCATATAACTTGACATGGTATATTTCCTTCTCATTGAGTTATGCGTATTTAATTTTTTAAAGAGATAACACACTCATGTAGTTCAAAGAAGAAACACACAAGAAGGTGTGCAGTGGGGTATCTTGTTTTCACCCCATCCCTGGCCAACCCACTCCCACCACTCACTTCAGGAAACTTCTATTAATTTCTTAGTATTCTTTGTGGGTTTTTTTTTTTTTTTTTTTTTTTTGTGGTTTTCGTTGCATCTATATTCATTAGAGATATTGGCTTTTTTATTTTTTTTGTTGGGTTTTTTTTTTTTTTTTTTTTTTTTGCGGTATGCGGGCCTCTCACTCTTGTGGCCTCTCCGTTGCCGAGCACAGGCTCCGGACACGCAGGCTCAGCGGCCATGGCTCACGGGCCCAGCCACTCCGCGGCATGTGGGATCCTCCTGGACAGGGGCACAAACCCGTGTCCCCTGCATCAGCAGGCAGACTCTCAACCACTGTGCCACCAAGGAAGCCCCGTGGGGGTTTTTGTTTGTCATGTACGTGTGGGCAAATCTTCCTGCTTTTCTGGCACTAGGAATAGCTTGCTATACTCACTATTCTGTGCCTTAGCAGTATATCCTTGAGCTTTGTCCATATTCATTAAAAATAAAACATGTTTCCTCATGCTATTTTTACACTTATGTAGTCTTCAACTGTGTGAATAAGCCACAGTTTTATTTATCTGTCCCTTACGGAGAGAAAATTGAGTCTCAAAAAAAATGTTTCCCATTTTTTGCTTCACAGCAATGCTGCATAGTATACCGCGGTCAGGGATCACTGTAAGTTCATCTCCCAGAGGAGGGAGAGCTAGAGCAAAGGCTAACACAACCGTGATGTTGCTGGATGCTTCCACATCGCCAGACTGTCTCATTCTGCCCTCTACCTGTGCTGGACAAGCCTGCCTACTCCCCTGTGGTCTTGACAGAGGGGGCCAGTATCCAGCTTTTGAATTTATGTCAGTCTGATAGACAAGAAATTGTATCACAGGGTACTTATAATTAGAAGTTCTCTTTTTGGATTAATGGGCTTGATCTCTTTATGAACTTAAGGGCCATTTGTGTTTTTAGAATGTGCTGTCTCTATTTTTGCTATTCCCCCCCCCCCCCCGCCTCATTTCTTAGAACTCTTAATTATTAGAGAGATTAGTTCTTTTTCTGTGATATGAGTTGCATATTTTTTTCCTAAATGCTTGTCATTTGACTTTTGAATCTATTGCCACACAGAAGTTTTTAAATTTTTATGTAGTCAAATCAGCCATCTTTTCTTAT